TTGAGGCCCTGAAATTTTGAAGTAAGATACAGATGGCAATTATGTATGGCCTGTACCCCAATCCCGGAAAAAGCGTTGCTTCTGGGTGAAATAATTTACTGGAACTTAATTATATTGAGGGAATATTTTAAACTTTAAGTAATGATTTTATAAACGGTGAAAACTAAGCTATTATATTTGGCACATATAATTTAAACTGCCCTTCATCTTTTGCGTAAGTCGATCTACATTTAGCTATACCTGGGAATTTAAAAATTCTGTGCGTACAATTTTAAAAGGTCTGGTTACGCCCCTGAAGTTTTTCATGAATCTTTCAAATGTAATATTACTTGTAAGATATACTATCAACACACAAGACACGATGCATTTTTCACTTGTGTCTTACATGTACGACAAGACGCAACACCACATACAATGAGGGATTTTTTCATGATTTGGTCACTTATTCAGTGGGTCTAAGAGGGAGGGGGCCACATTTTGGCTTCTGTCCTGTCTCAACATGGTTGTGACGACAACCACAGATTTCGTGGAAATGTGCTAGATGTGACAAGCCCTTGGCAGCTGTAAATATGTACATATAGTAGGTCATTAAATCAACGGTTTTTATTCATTTATCTCAATAAAGAATATCGTTAAAATGTTTTAATGCATGTCTCTTGGCACTTTGGTACCTCATCTACCGATCAGAAATAAGAGAAGACAAATGTAGAATGAAGTTGTTCATAAATCTGTAATAAGTACTACTTGCAATGTATAATACCATAGCGCGAGACACAGTGTGTTTTATGTGTGTGTCATACTACACTGTTTTACATTTGTCGAGCGAAGAGAGAGACATTTTTATCATATGTCACCCTGTCTCTTTCAACACAAAGTCTTAGATCCCCGAGTGAAATACATAGGTTTTGGTGACATGATGAGAATCTCTCTTCGTCGAGGTACATTCTAATTCACTAAAGACTGGGACTCACAGTGATGTTAGCTGGTACCTCACGACAACCATGATTATATTTTAACCGAGGATGCTTATCATGAGTGTTGCATCTGAATTTTCTTGATTATTTATATCATATGTGTTCACAGAAAAATAATTTTCGGATAACAGTTTAGTCTGCAATAAAAATGACAAATATGTATCATGCAGTTAATTTTTAGAAACGAGATAAATGAATATGCTCTTAGTTAAAAAGTAAAAATAAAGTCAACTGGTAATTTACTGCATTTGGATTGCAGAAAAAAAAACATGCAGTCACATATATGATCCCTGAATTTGACAGTTTTTTATTTTCTACAACTATAAATTTCAAACCTTGTCAATTTAGACTTGTTTTCTAACTGGTCATTGTAAGTGACGTCAAATTCTACAAACATGATGCCTACCACATTCAAAAAGGACATCCTTTTTCAAATGATAGGCAAAGAAATTACATTGTAGTTTAATACCAGTGGCAGATTTAGGGGGTGTGTCAGTGGGGGTCCTGACCCCCCCCCCCCCCCCTTCGATATCTGAGAAAAATCACACCAAATCACACCTCCACACCAGAGAAACGCATTATTTGCATTCGGGAGTTTTCTGGGTAAAATATTTCATTGATTTTATGGTACGGCAGCTATGGATATGTTTTTAAATGAATTAGGCCTACTGGGTCATGACAGGCTTTCTCAATGATTTGCTATTATAACTGTTCTTTAATAACTACCAGAAACTTTTGCTGTTTATTTTTAAAAACGCGTGTGAAAACGAAGAACCAGAAACAGACCTCTTTCAGGCTGCTTTACTTCAAGTGTAGTATAGTTGTTCTCAAAAATTGCATTGTAGGTGCAATCAGTGGCGGATTTAGGGGGGGGGGGGGTCAGGGGGGTCCAGACCGCCCCTTCGGTTTCTGAAAAATATATCGCACCAATATTCCCCTCTTAAAATTAGCATTTTGACTAACTAAATAATAGTCCTAAACTGTACAAAAGGGCACTATTGGCTCTACAAAACACCAAAAAAAATTCGGGGTCCTTCAGCAGAGCCCACCCTGAGCTTCAGAGATAACTTGACACTAACCTCTTCACTATAGCCTATCTTCATCGTGTCAAGTTACATGTTAGTGTCAAGTTATCTCTGAAGCTCAGGGTGGCAGAGCCTGAACCCCACACCAAGGGGGCTATGGTCATCAGAGGCCTGTCGTTCCGCCCCCCCCCCGCCCCCCTTCGGTATGACAATGTAACAAAGAAGAATGTGCAGAGACAAGCGTGCCCGCATACATGCCAACGCACGCACTCACCTAGTTGCGCCGACGGACAGCTATCAACAGTTTAAGACTATCATTGTTGTTGTTGTTTACGTTGTTGTGCGTGTGTGCGTGAGACGTCATACATGCACGCATGTTTGTTCTTACGTCGGAATTATTTTTAGATTGCCATACAGAGTTTAATATCCGACAATACATACATTACCTTTGTTTTTAATAACTGTTAGCTGCTTTCAACTTATGGTGAGTCAACACCTATTTTTCTTACTGTATATTATGTTACAATTAAAAAGAAAAGGGACAAAAGATTGGAGTTGTCTTCAAATTATTGGTAAAAAATATCCACGTAAAAAAATATCTACGTAATACATGAAATTAGAATTTTGACTATCTGAGTCATAGTTCTAAACCGTATCAAATGACACCGTTCGCCTTCTAAAATACTAAAAATTTTCGCCCCCCCTCAGCGGGCCCCGAACCCCACGCCAAGATTTGGGGGGGGGGGGGGCGCTTCGCATCCGGGAAAGCCCCCTTCAAACAATCCTGGATCCGCCCCTGGGTGCAATTACATAGTAGGTGCCAAACATAAAGCTTAGTTAGCTTGTGACGCATTCTAAATGAATGGCTTAATTTTTGGGCCCACCCCTTTAGTAAAAAAAAAAAAAAAAAAAAATATATGACCCCCCCCCCACTTTCTCCGCCCCCACCCCGTACTTTATGATGATCATCATCATTATCCCGATCCTCCGCATATCGAAGATTGTCGGCACACTCCATGGACCAAGCCCCTCTACTTCTTTCTATCAACTGTCATCCTCGAGACCTCTGTTAAACTTTTTCTTGTCTATTTGTATGTTGGTTTTCCATCAAAACCTTGGCCAGTCACGTTTTCTTTTTATTGGGACGCTTAGAAATGTTGATGTAAACAACTGTAGTTTTTCCAATGGCAACTTTATGATCAGTCCCTCAACAAAGATATATAGCAGTTACTTTTTATAAGCACCTCAATATTAGGAATCGTTCAGGAAAAAGGATACAGGATAGATATAAGTAAAGTAACAGAGTGTAGAGGATTAACGTTGTCTGGATAGGGCATACATGTACAACACATTGGAGTATTGGGGGGGGGGGGGGGGGGGGGGGG